TTTCTGACTGGTGTTGGACACAATATTACACTGGTATGAACTGTAGTACAAGTATCAACTGCACAACTGCATTATGTGCTTGGTGATTTGTGAATTTTGTGCTATTACATATGCTATTTAATGTTATATTATATGATATTATATTACATTATTTTCATGTGAGAATAAATCCATGTGCTGCAAAAAGATTTGCTGGTATTCTATTGCATCTCTTCATTGAGGACCTTTTGTCCTACCCATTGAGGGTTTTTTGTCCTGAGGGCATTTAACCTAAGGGTGTTTTGTCTGAGGGTGTTATGTCCTTGTGGGCCTATTGTCCTACCACCGATGTGATGGGTCGGGACAGGGTGATTTGTTGTCTTCCTTGGCTGTAGAGGTTGATTTGTTGTCTTCCTTGGCTGTAGAGGTTTTCCGTCCTTTTATAACATCGAAATCCTGGGCCACAAACATTTGATCCACATAGACCAAGGATACTACATACCATCGACCTATGAAGAATTTATCAAACTATAGACTTTATCAAAGCACCCTACCAGCTTTCTGTTACTACTTAATCTCCCTTATTTGTATATTATTTATTCTTTAGGTTTTATCACCGGTGCTGTTTGTCCTTCTTAGTCCCCAACTGGCCTCTTCCAATTATGTACTACTTCTATTCAATTGCAGGCCATTGTTAATGTAAATCTGCTGTCATAACATACCATGTATGTATACTTCTCTCAATTTGGTTGTAGATACTTTTATCTTAAAGGTCACATGCAACGTAAAACACAACTTTGCAGATTCTGGTACCTTTCGGTGTGGACTTTCCGAAACAAATCATCAAAAATGCAAATTCAATTTATAAAGTTGAAAAATAACGTGATGAAAAAAACCCGAGCGAAATCGTAGTTCAAACGATTCACTAATTTTCCCCAGGGTTTGGGGGGATTCAAGTGGTTTCAACAGCTGGGCTGCGCTCATAGCACGTGCGCAGTGAAATAGGTTCGCGCAACTTGGAAGCGGGTTGTCCGGTGAATACTCGGTGAAGGCTTTGGTGTGAGCTATTTTTCTAATGTTTTATTGATATCTCACAGGCGCGAGCTTTTTATATGTTATGACAGTAAATTAACTGTTTATATAATTTCATTTGTCTGTTTCACCACACGTTCTCCTTACCGAGTCACTTTCTCAGTTCGATACTTACAAGCAATGTCATTATTTAGCGTTGGCAGAATTTCTAACTGTTATATAATATGTCGTTGTCACAGACAAAACTCAATGTCTTGTTTTATTGACACCTGTGTGTCTGCCTGCCTGTCTGCTAATGACAATATTCAATACAAAACTGCGATCACTGACCACATGCCATTTGAACTAAAATCAACACACTGCTCGCGTCAACGTTAAACGTATTCGGAGGTTGTATTCTTTGATTTCCTTTCGCAGCCTCAGGGACCAAACGTTCATGAGATATCACACCCTATTTTGCACTGAAATGTGTTTAAAGCGAATTGACATGTTTAATACTATTGTCCTTTAAATCAGTTCAGAAATCTAGAGTGCACATACTACATTGTGACACTAATAGCCAAATGTATTAATAAAGTATGCCTGTCGCCTTTGCAGTTCGTGAACATGCAACCAATTGCTTTAGAGATATGGTGTGATGCACGGACTGTACCATAGCATGTTTGTACATTTCAGTTTGCAAGGACATACATCCACGTATGCTATCGAATGATCGCCTGTTTGATCATTTAAAAAAATAACCTTTGATTCAGGTAGTCCTCAATTTATACTCTTGTATAGGCATAGTTGAGGGTTGGACAATTACGCATTTAGGCCAGCCGGAACCTGACGTCTCCATAACAAAGATACACACCTATCAATTTCAGGATACTCTTTTGCCCGGGCATATAAAAGAGTGAACAAATACCTTATTGGAAAAGACAAAACGTTGTACAAATTAAACTGAGGTATGGTCTGAATGTGAATAATTTCCAAGAGGCGATATCCAATATCGATACAATCGTGATGCTGTGGTCAATAGAAATCGAAGGTATCACGACTGTGTCTTCTTAGACACTCGTGGACGCTGTCAAAGCAGCAGAGTTGGTCTGGCCGTTCGGAAACGTCTGAAGTGTCTGGGCATGTCATTTTGTTACATTGTTGTGGCATGGCATCTAAAACAGATTCAAAGGCTGCGTGGACAGATGGAACCGCATCTACTGACAAGAATTGGTAGTTTGTGGAGTGATTTCACACAGAACACAGGATTCCATGGCATCAATAAACTTACACCTGGGCGTAACTACAGTGTAAGATGGTGAGTTGAATATCATGTAGTAGCATTGCCATGTATTATTACAATTGACGCTTAGGCTGTGGCAGGTGATATTCTGTCACAGAAAGAATGCCACGTGTTCATCTCCTCATGTGTTTGTGGGAATTGTTTTATTATATGATATCGTATTCAAATGACGAAAACGTTGTATGCATACGCTTAACTACATTCTTCATAGGAATTGTTGAAGTGGCAGGTGTTCCCGATAGAGGACATGTTTATGTGAACACTAGGTGTCATGACTAATTGTCACTAATGTTTTTGTACAACTGTCGCTATTATGTTTAATGTGTTTTGGAAGCAACCAATTATTATCTGCCGTTGATGCCGTATTTTAGACACAGATTATCAAATAAAAACACAAAACCTAACAAAGCAACCGACAAAACAATATATTTGCGCATTGTAGTATTTGTTTAATAGAGTTATGAATCTAAAACAAGCGTAAGACAGGAGAAAAAAAATAACACTGGAGTTATCAAGAGTGCAATATGCTTGGTTAAAGAAGACTTGTAATAAGAGCCTTTCTGGTGTATGTGATCATCGAAAGTAGAGGCCCTGCCCTGCCCTGCCCTGCCTGTTTTGCCCTGCCCATCTGCCCATGCCCTGCACTGCCCTGCCCTGCCCTGCCCTGCCCTGCCCTGACCTTAAATGCCCTGCCCTGCCCTGCCCTGTCTCTGGGGTGTAAAACTATATGGATCTAAGTGTATGCCTATAATATATATGCACTATATCTCTTCTCTTTTTGCATATACTCACAGACTCAGTGTTTATTGCTGTGACTTTTCCTGAACATTTTGCTGTTTCCTTATCAAACGTTCTGCTTCATGAGTTACGTTTACTCTACATTGAGCATTTCGTTGATTGTGTTCCTGATAATGTTCCAATTTACTTTGAACTGCAATGTATTGCCTTCTGTTCTTATGTTTATTTCTTGTATGATGTTGCTATTGCTATCAACATGTCGATTTCATTTATTTCTGGCTCTAACATTTCAAATCTGTGATAGGCTGTTTTACATCTTTGACATTTACCCTTTTTCTGTTTTCAATGAATATGTTATGGGATTGCCTTTAAACATCATTAAAATGTCCTTACCTGGTTGATCATCAATGGTACATGTTTGTCAAGTACATCTGTTGTATCTATATATAACTTGATGATTTGTTTACATGAACTTCTGATCAATTCTTGCTAGCCAAAGGCTGCGATTGTATTTCCAATTATACCTACGTTTTCTATTTCACATGTTTTCAAAGAGTACATAGCTAATGAGTGATAGAATCAATATCATGGATCAATACAATACTCGATGTCAAATACACAAAGAATTTACTCTGTTCATTTTGTTTAAATATTTATTTACACTTTCGTACAGTCCATTTGTTCAGATCAATGGAGTCCATTATCAATAATTATGTAAATGATAGTCTTTTTTTTCCAAATGTACACTTGAATAACCTCGATTATGAATAACTCGATTATGATTTGCCAGAAGAGATTTCAAATTACTGTAACCACCTCTGATTGAATCACAGTATATGATACTATCTATGCACAAATTACCCACTTCAGGTTCCCCTCCTTTTTTTGATGAGTATATAAGAACTTGCACACAGCTTCCCACTCGTGCGTAAGGGATCACTTCTGAGGTTGACACAGGATGGTCTTGCTGCAATGTACCTACTTTTCCTGCATTCTTAATCTTATAGCACAATTTTGGTTTCCCATATATCTTTCATTATTTGTGTTTGATCAGACGATGAGGCGTCGGCAACGCAAGAAAAGAGTTTAGGCTTTAGGTATGCTAGAAATCCCCCAAAGTGGCCAGGGCGTTCAAATTTTAACAGTAATACGAAAATCCTTGTACGAGTTCTGGATCAGACTATGCAAAATTGTGTGACGTGTTGTGCCGCTCCATACAATAGCTCTATTTCCAACACACATCAGTGGTAACACAACGACCACACTGCAGTAATTGTCGCAGGTCATGTGTCATGTTTTCAGTAAATCCCTATCATTAACACTCCCTTGTCTGACGTTAACGTGTTTTGCGACATTGAAAGGAAGCTCAAACCCGTATCTGACTGAGACAATATGAACTTGCTGGTGGATCGGGTATGGAAAGGGGTGGCGTCACTTCCCGGTGGTTTCCGAACCCCTGTCCATATTGTGCAGGGACTCGACATTACTGTCGGGACATCATACTTAAGCCCTTAGTTTTCACGCTTACAAGGCATGTGGATCGACGGTTTGTCTTCCAGGTTGACAACGTACTATCGCACCCTGAGTGAATCGTTAATGCTTGTCTCCAGAAACACAGCATTGATAGAATGATTTGACCAGCAGGGATTCAGAACTTTACGGCATTCATTGTACCCGCCTGAAGCATTATAGGGGGAGTCGTTTGTCAGCGTTATTGGCTGACGCTCACGTTGTCAGAACTTGGCCGAGCGCACCATGAGGAGTGGGACAGACTGTTGTGAGACTCTCATGTACTACGCCCTGTGATTGAATCTTTGACACATGGCGGAGGTACAGCGGTAAAACAGCATCTTATATGTCATATGAAAGTAAAAAAAATGGAGTAATTTACAATTTTGTTTGTATATCATTACAAAGAACTATGTGGTTTCTTTTTGTTAGTGTTTCCTGGATGGTTGCAATCCTCTTGATGGCAGGCTACCTGTCATATAATTTGACAAAGGAGCTGATAAACTACTACAGCTACCCTGTGATCACCAACACCAAGTTGGATGTGCATGAGGAACTACCTTTTCCAGCTGTCACATTCTGCAATCTGAGTCCCTACAACCTTACAAGAGTTCGAGCAGTTGATCCTTATCTGGAGGAGTATTTCGCTAAAACCAGCCTCTTCGGACCATATATAGGCCCCATAAATTGGAGTGACCCTGGTTATGGGTCAACTTTTCAAGAGAGCCACAACCGTGACTGGTGGAAAAATATATACATGTCTCTTACACAAATGTTTTCTCTGTGTTGGATGAACGGTATGGAATATCACCCCTGCACCTTGGTAATGAAACCTATTTTGACTCACATGGGACAATGTGCCACCTTCAACTGGAATGCTTCTGATGCTGCTAAAGTTCGACTCACTGGATCAGATAACGGTCTCGTCATGCATGCGGATATTGGTCATGCCAACTATGTTCTTGGATCTCAGCTGGCTGCTGGTATGAAGGTAAAATATACAAAGTAATTCACATAAAACAACATCTAAATGCAAAATTTGAATGTCAGTGTGCACGAGCACATAATTATTACCTTAACAATATGTTACGATTCCAATTGGTTGAGTTCAGTTACGCTGATCACATTTTTACGTTAAAATAGCATCCGTGTAAAGACGTTTGTTGAATTAAATAACTCGTATTTGCCAAAACATACACACAGTAAGTTACGATGAAAGGCAAACATTATTTCTTGCCTATACTGAAGCACGAAAGTGCATGACTGACGGTCAAACTCCACGTGATAATGGTTATTCCTGCCGAACACCTTTGTCATGAACTTTGTTGAGTCGAACTTATAGGAGAATACTAGACAATTGCAATAATTTGCTGGGTGAAAGATAAAGTCATTAAAAACATGTACCACAATTTTTACTTCAAAAATATGGTTCATTATGTTTTCCTCGCGAAAACAGTTTCTGTTATCTGAGTTTCGGCCATTATGCATATTCCGCTGGAACTCACGTGACCTTTCCGCTCATGACGTCATATATGACTAGAGTCCGCCATATTGCCAAAGAACAAGCGCTACAGTAACACAAATCGTGTTGTTTCTGGGTTTTTTTGTAAATGGTACGATTGTGTGTCCCGTTGCCTAGGGATGCACGGAATCATCAAACAATGGAAAGAGGCGCCACTTCCTCCGTTTTCTAAGTAAACAAACAGATTTAGGCAGGAGAAATGCTCCGATCATTCCGAGTCGGGCGCATATGATGGAGATATACATACATGGGGTATGAAAATCCCAAATCTAGGCTGAAGAGGGAAGAAGTACCCACGAGATTCATTTACACTTCATCATTCCCTGTAACGACTTACAGTCAGTGGTATTTTAACATAAATTAAATCAAATCCGATTGAAAGTCGAATTGACCCAGCTACAAATTGCCACAGCAAATTTGGTCAAATTCACCCGGAGTTTTGGTCAAATTGCCCTACTGGGTACTCAAAATGCCCCAAGTTAATTAAAATTATTAAATATTGGCCATAAATGCATTAGATTTTGTCAGCTGTGATATTATGTTCTTCATATAGAAGTATATGCGTAGTTATGGGTTTACTAATGGAACATTATAAGAAATATTACTTCCTAATAACTTCTATATGAAGAACATGATATCAAAGTTGACACAAACTATGCATTTACGGCATATATTGAATCATTTTAAATAAATCTGACCAAATTTGCGGGGACATTTTGTAACTGGGGCAGTTCGACTGGTGCCCATGAAATATATATCATCAAAATCAGTAAGAGATTTCACATGAGTTTGAAAATGTTTGGCTAAAAACATTCCTTTCGGTTTGGAGCCCTAAATGCTGCAGTCTACCCGAAACATTGCCGAATACAACGGCAAATCAAGATTTAGTACTTGTTGCTTTCAATTTTTTTCCATTTTATCCAACTACGCACGTTGGAATCAGACGTGAAATTTGTCAGTAATGTGTGCCGTGAAAGTTGTTGTTGTATTCTCATTAGCTGACAAGATGTCATCCTAAGGTTATGACCGAGTACCCTTACTATTTCCATAACCACAAACTGGGGAAACAAACATTGTCCTGACTAGTATTTTATAATGCACCAGTTTTCGGGGAATAACTTATCTGCGTCGCGTATTTTATCTCTGCTTGACCAGGCTGGGATATCTGTATGGAGACTTCATACGTTATCAATGGGACCTATGATCCTAATTTTTTTCAACACAATAATTCCAGTGTAGTCGTTTTAGCAGATACTTTCTATGTACCCCGTCTGAAGAAGCCTCATTATTTTAATCAATATTTTTGTAAATCCCAGAAACCCTACAGTCAGCCATTTGAAACAAAAGTACCTGCAAACACACACAAAACCAAAAAACCAACAAAACAAAAAACAACAACAAAAAACAACAACAAAAAGACACAAAAACAATAAACCAACAAAAAAAACGCCAAAAACACCCAAAACAAACAAAACCAAAGAAAACAAAAACTGGTCATATATTTAAAGAATTAGGTTTGCTGGTTGTAACTGCATCACATTTTGCTGACAAATAGTATTATTGTTAAAACATATGGTCTATTTTAGAAATTATTTTGACATCAATCGATGCCTCCGTTTCCCTTGATTCTTCTTCTTCATCTGCACTGGAAGATTGTCTTGCAAGATGTAAAATCGGATCGTATTGATATGGTCTAACATCCATTTCAGAAATGACATCAGGAATACCTTTTACCGCTTCAGAATCCATCGCCACTGTTAAGTTGTGAGATAAAATCAAAGAGGAAGCCATCAGCAACAGGCATATATGACGTCATGTCACGTGACACCCCTCTGCTCATTAACTGTCGGGTGTTTCCGCAAAAAGGCGGAAATACGTGTACGTTCTTTTGCGTTTTTATTGCGATTTTACAAACTTTTTGTTCAAATTTAATCACGGAAGCTGACTTTTAGATTATCCTTTTGCTTTCGTTCGTATTCTCCTTTAAGGTAGTCTCGAAGAAAAAGTTAGTGCGAATTCCTTGTTCATTAATCATTTGCCTCGGTAAATTCTAACATAGTTCTTGTAAAGAATGAGCAGGCAATTTCATAAGGAATTTCGAAAACAATATCTAGGACCCCTTGTGTTGCTCTCTATGTGATGGTATTAAGAGATTGTTACTTGTTGCTTGGTGGTAATGTGGCTGATGCAGTCGTGCTTACCAGTAGGTGTTCATTCAGTGTCACAGGTGTTGTTTACCGAATGCAGGTAATCTTACACGATCCTCGCATCCACCCCGATTTAGCGTCATCTTCCTTCCTGGCAGCACAAGGGACATCGGCATATGCTGTCGTTCAAAGATCAACGGTATGTAGGTCACGCTTTAAACACAGTGTCATCTGAACCTATAAATCGTCTCATGCCTTTTTCATCCGTGTCATTCTAAAAAATATCTCTTAATAAATCCGTTATGGAATATAAGCACATATAACACTTGAGTAAATTATCGGTCGTTCTGCTTGGTTTTTTAAATATTGTTTTACTATATCGTTCAGTACTGATCTATGTGCCCTAGACTTTGAGTGAATGCTGACTCTTTCTGTGACATAGCTTAATTGCATTGCCTACAATCCATGACACAGTAGATTCTATTTGAAATAACTTGTAACGATAGAATTTCATACAACTTAAAAAAGGTAACTTCAAAGGAACTTCAAACAGCCGCCCATCTAATCATATTCAAATTTGAAGAAAAAGCAGGAGATACATAATTCTTTACTTATGACGTCCGTTTATTTACAGACACCCACTGGTTCTCGTAGTATGTACTCAATCTTGATTGAGATGTCATACTATGACCTGCATGTATGGTTTAAGCCTCATAATGACTACTGATCAATATTGTTGTGGAACGATGCCTATGTTTCTTTTAACAGTACCAGTACATGCCACCACCGTATCAGGCTTTCAAGAACCGAACATGCCTGGATACTTCATCACCCTCATTTACCAACACCCTTCAGTACTTCGACGTTTACACTTATGAAAACTGTCTTCAAGAATGCATCACACTGAAAACACACGACCGATGCGGGTGCATCAGACCAGCAGATAATGGTAAGCTGAATCCTGATGTAGCCACCAAACTGATTTTTAATTCGATGATTACAGCATTGGCTTGACCGTTCGTTGTCTGGCAAAGACATGCCATTACTTCCAGTATGTTTATACGAAGCAGTCGGAAATGTGAATCAGTTTCAGTCGATAGTATAAGCAGGACACTCGTTGGCGATCCTTAAACTCAGCTTAGGCGCGAGTAAATGAGTTAAGTGTTAACGATGCGTGGCATTCTATTAACACAAGACCTGCCAGCTGACGAAGGGCGCATTTCATGCAGTACGAAGTAACACGGTCAGCCGTAAAACACATTGCTGAAATCCAAAAGGTATGATTACTGTAACATAACTGGCGCTCACCAGGATTCCAAAGGCGTGGGTGTCAAGGACAATGCCAATAATTGTATCTGTGATAAATACCAAAATCAATACTGACCAGAAACGATGCTAAAGGGTTATTCAGCATAATGATAGGCACTGTTATGATAGTACTGTGAACACGTACAAAGCTATTAATAATAAATCGCCATTCACAGTATAAGACTCATTATTTCCCCCCCCCCCCCCACACACACACATCAGGCAGAACTAACTCTATATGCGTCATTGTATTTTCAAATTTCCAGATGGTGGCTTCCCGTGGTATAATATTTCGTTCGTCTCACAGAGGACCTGAATTCAAGTAGCCACGTGGTATTGCTTGAAGATTGTTTTCTAAATCTTTCAATTTTCAAACTGATTGTAAAAACTGATACTAATACCTATTTTATGAGTATACTCTTGTTTTCAGCAACTATTGGAAAAATCTGTTCCATATATACCTTCACTACATGCTATGACCCGGTTTATGGTAAGTTTACTCAACTGATAGATGTGCTGTGAAAGAATGTGTGGACGTAGTATGGAACTGCAACAATATGCATAATGTATCGACGCTAAAAGTATTAACATTATAAGACACAATGTTCATTATTAAACTGAACACTGGGGCTTGGTGTTTGCTGTCCCCACAATCACCCTCCGACTTATTTACATATATATGTTACAGTCAATCTGTCAAACCAGTCATTTGGTCAAATGACTGAAACAATCAGTCATTTGGTCAAAAGACTAAAATTATCAGTCATTTGACCGAATGACTAAAATTTTTGACCAGTCATTTGACCAAATGACCAAATGACTAAATCGTTTAAGTTAAAAAATGAAACACACAAAAAATAAAGTGAACACTTTATTTATCCAGTTTCAACATAGAGCTTTGCATTACTTGTTTTGATTTCACCAAATGACTGAAACATTTATTCTTTTGACCAAATGACTGATCGTTTTAGTAATTTGACCAAATGACTGGAATGACAGATGTGATGAATGTGTGAACGTTGTGTGGAACTGCAACAATATACATGACGTATCGACGCTAAAAGTTATTACTCTATTAACATTATAAGTTACATGTATATTATTAAAATGAACACTGGGTACTTGGAAAGTGGTGTCCCTACAATCACCCTCCGAATTATTTACATATATACTCCCTAAAGAATAGGGTAACCTGAACATTCAATTTTGATAGGAAGTTTAAGCTTTAACAAACTTTTCAAAGACAGACATCTTATGAACGCACCGCCATTTCTCTTTATCACCGCCCCTAAACACAACGCATGGAATGGACAACGCAGTGCATAGGGTGTCATTCTTGCTTTTAATGATTTTCACGAATGTCGATAAATCACTGTAGACCATTATTTTTGACAATCCCCTTGCATCACACAGTTGTTAGTGTTTGTTCCTAGTCGGAATTTTTTTTTTTTTTTTTAAATCGTGCACATGAAAATGTCACGTCACACACCAATCATATTTCAAGAGCGATTAGTGCACAAACACCTATAGCCATAAGGAAATACAAGTGGTGATGCACTCTCGAAACATTTCTTATTATCATATCAACATTTGTTGATTTCTCCCAAATTTTTTCGATCGTAAATGAAACATGAAGTTCCCCTACTCTTTGTTAAGAGAATATGTTGTACCGGAGAATTTATTGTCATAATAGGATCATTTATCTATGTAGATATAACACGTGTTCATTATATCTAACTTTGCATATATGTTACAGGGCGTATTCATTTCGTGTAACTTTGCTTGTTTAAATTGCTGATTGTATTTATTCAATTTGTATCATTTTTAGAAACTAAATTCATTAATTGATTGATCATAAACCATTTTTGCAGGTTATTTCATGCAGAATGTGGAAATTCTTCAATCTTGCGGGTGCCAAGTGCCATGTTCATTCGAGACTTACGATGTCAAGGTATCCACAGCGAGATTCCCCTCAAATGTGACATTGGCACTGGCTGTGAAGCTTGGGTTTGCACCAGATGAGACATTTGTCAGGTAATAAATAGTCGAGGAGCATCAGGGACATCTAATTTGAAGGCAATGAATATACCTCACACACGCTCTAAATATACCTCATGAGAGTTGAGTCAACAATGAATTGCGTTGAAGGAGTTGATTGGCAACTTCATTTTATTAAACATACTACTACCAAGGTTTACACATTTGTGATAGAGATGCCGGAGTGACTAAATCCACTGCTGTAGACATTAGTTCAAAACTCCAGCCACGGTAGAATTGACGCCATCATATATTAGCGTAACTATTACCAGGCATGTTTTTCAAGTTTGGGAAAACTTAGAGATCGCGCATTATGACTCGTGCATATGTGTATTGTCCTTGTGAGATATGAACGATGGTTTGCCTTGAATATTCTCACGTATCTACACAAAAACGTCTGGATCTGACGGGACCGGCGACACTGGATCGTGTCTGACCAGGAGCCTTGTAACAAAGCCCATTTCACAAAGCGATCGTAGCACTAATGCTTCCTATGCTTTAAAGTTGGCTCGCGGTAGTCGTAAGGCTAGGATTCCTTTGTTGAACGTGTCCCTGGACATTTCTTGCTTGACATCTGTATAAACGTCCATTCCGAATCGTCGCTGTAACAGCAAAATAACGAGGTTGTCCATACACCTTTCAGAAATGACGATCAAGCAATTAGGTTAAATTGATATAACACAGGTGGCTGGAGACTTTAGTTAAATCAATCATGTGAAAACATAGGTTTCTACCTTTAAATGAACTAAGCAGAAAAATGTGTCCCGTCTACTACTTCGTCCACCTTATTTGTCTATATTTGTAAACAAATAAATCACTGGATATCCCATTTGATCTTATTTGGGAATCTGGAAAAATGTTATTGGGCTTGTAAACAGTATGTTTGCATGGATGTATCTGGACATACCCAGAAGCAAATATTCAGCAGCTAATCTGCTAATTCTCAGTATAATTTCTCTCTTCAAAATCTGTACACCATCCTAAAATGACACTGAATATAAGGAAATCCATTTTTAAATCATCCTTTCCAATATATTTTTCTATGTGTACTTTGTTGTGGTATCATAATTTACAAACTTCTACAATACCGGGCTTCATGAACTGCCAGCATTTACGTACAGTTATGTCACACCACAATAACACAAAGAAGATCCAAGTCTTCACCTGTACACTGACCCATCTTCCAGACATAGGAAACCTGTGATGCAAAATCTTTGAAAAGGGTATCCACAGTTATCCAAACAATTAACTAGCACTGAAGTAGAATATTACACAAAATACAAATATACTGCTTTTTCTTCATAGATATTTAACTACTAACTACTAATGTAAATAAGGTGTAAAGAATATATCCTAAGTTCAAAGCTTTTCGTCAATAAAATTACATATTGTCATTATTGCTTCTTAAACAATGATAATCTTTGTTTTATTAGATCTGAGACCATATCCCTAAGGGACATAACACCGATTTTGATATATTTCCTTTTCTGAGATACTTACTAGTGTCATCAAAAATATATTCAAGTTGTTTCTAAATTGGTAACAAAATAAAAGTTTAAGAAAACACACATGAAAATGTCCTGAAGCTTTCACCTCCTTCAAACCAGTGTGCAATTTAATATGAAGCTCATTTTCCAAATAACCATCCACAAACCTTGAACAATTTGTCAAAAACCACCATCTTAATAAACACTACTTTGGCTCAAATGTCTTCAAATAATGGTAACCTCCTCAAAAGCTGATGATTTCTAAGAAGTTTTACATCAAATCTGGGATAAATATATGTTTCAATATTCATTCCAGTTACATGACTAGTCAACTGAAAATTTTGTAAGTTATTCTGTTCCAAGACTTAATAATGCCTGACCAGGGTGTGACCTATTTCTTTTCAAATTTTCGGGATGTTGAAATTTATTATCATGAGCTTGATACTAGTAATTATTTTCAGAATAACCCTTTTAGTAAATATATTATTTAAAAAATCCAAAGATATTTTACAGCAGGAGCCAACAAACTAAGTTACTTAGTAGCAAATGATTGTTCTGCCAGGGTACGTATTTAGTGTTTGTTTGCCTAGCTCTGCCTTAAAATCACATGAAACTGATATGTCAGTCAATTAAGTAGTTATTTATAATTAATTATGTTATTATGTATTTTATTACCTTTCCACGTTTACTTAAGGACGCAAGATTCTAAAAACATACCTTGCTATCATTTCCAGTGAATTATAATTAAAATGACAGTTATGTTATTACTCCTAAAATGTACCAGTGCGCCTCCCCTACATGTTAAAAAAAATATGTTGTAACAAAAATTCAAAAGAATAAATGTTCTCATAGTTAAGAAATACACTTTTATTTCACTCCGTCCAATATTCCAGAAAGTCACTATTCTTCTCACATAGTTTTCGTCTCTGATCCACATGGAGTAACGTAATTCAATTCAAGGTCCCACATCTTTATAAAAATTCTGAAATATTTATGGCATGGTTTTATAGACACTCATTTGAATTAATTTTGTTATTTGGATGTTGCCTGATAGGAAACTGCTGACACTGACTATATTTCCGTTTGAATAAAAAAAATATTATTTCTGGAATATTTTGCACTAATAACCGATGCTGTACTGTAGGCTTGCAGATTGTGTTTTTGAAACTTTAAAACATCCTATAATGTGTGACAAATTTAAGAATCTTTAATGTAACAAGTTCTGCTATTTCGATCGACCGTAACCGAAATCAGATTGCTGTCAGATTTGTTTACATTGTGTCATGGCTTTCTCGCCTGTCTCATTTCAGCTTTATGGTGTACCAACTGAATACCCAGTATTGACAAAACACGTTAAGCAAAAACAATTTTGTAGTTACAAGAATTGCCCGTGTTTATAACACTTGCAAAGTTTTAAAGTGCTATTTGTTGTCCTCTATTGGTAATGATTTTGCACATGTGCGAAAGTGTGTAAATTCGTGCAAATTCTCACCCTCAAGCAGACGTAGGTTTCGTGAGCGATGGTGCAGGCATTCCATTGATCGTGAGGCATATCGCGCTCCTTGATCCGCTTCAAATCTTTTGTCTCGACCATAATGGTCGTGTTAAAGGTACACATCAAATCGCAGCAATATGTAACAGATATAGCGAGTGTGAATGGCATAATACGAAGCACATCGGTTCCGAGGCATCGTTTGACCCCGGAAATAAGTCTGACAAATCCACAAAGCGCGCCCGGCCTGCTGATTGGCCAAAATTGACGCATGCGCCAGTTTTGATTGACAGACTGGATCGGTCTATTATGTCCATGCCCGTCAACTGAGAATGTTCTGTTTCTCTGGTACTAACTAGCTATATATATGGTTCAATTGCAGTTTCTATGAAAAGACAGTATTAGACATCTTCTCATGCAGTCTGTTGTGGGAGTACGATGCGTTGAAGCAATTGAATCATTCATACGACATCGTGCTTCACAATAAGGAGAATGGCGTCATTATTCAACAATCAACGATTTAGTTGTCAGATAGATCTTAGACCTGGGCAGGATACATGTAATAACATCAACTTGTTTTACTCTTTCTAACCCATATAAAGTGTAATTGATTGTAAAGGTAATTGTTTTGCCCTTAGAGTATCAGTCACTCACTATTGCACTGCTATCCGATCTTAAACATGGTATTTCAAAATTTCAACTAAAAGGGACTGATCAGTTTGACGATTCTTAATTGCCTGCAAGCATGGCAAAATATCTGCAAATATTATGACTCAGCTTTCCTTAAAGCGTTCAATAAAGTTATAGAGTTAATAGGATAGCCTTAGTCTCTTCCGTAATAAAAGAAAATCCATCTGTTAATCGAAGTGATCACGTGAGTTTCATCAAGAGTCACAGCTGCTGCTGACACTTTGTCTCCATTCTTTGATCCATCGGTGTATGTACATCTATGATCGACATATTGATGTTTATTTTCCAGGAAAGCTTGTTGATACAATAAGGGGTTTGTATCAACCTTTTTCAAGTTGGTTAATTCCAAATTTACACGAGCTGTATTGATTGCCAAGGTGGCACATCAGGTAGTTTAGAATTGGCAATTGCAGATACATCTCTATTTGCTACCGCCATAAACTGTGAAATATGGATTCCAAGTGGATCTATTGACTGTGATGTTTTTATCATATAACTTCTAAGGAGGATTAAAACAACGTTAAAGGCAGTTTTGGATGGAATGCAGCGCAAGGTGTATCCGTCCGATCTCAAGTTTCAGTAAAGGGTCTTTCAACAGGGGAACTTCTAAATGCGCCAAGACGCAATATTAGACCTTGATGATGAATGGTGTCAAGCTGTTGAATATAACTTTTACGGGCTGAACCATACCGGGTATATAAAACCGCCAAAATCAAGGTTTGGTCTAGTTAACGTTCTGTAAAAATAGAGTAGAGTTTGTTGGTTCCCACATCATTTGCAACTTTAAACCACCTTCAGATATCAAGCATTTAACTGTCGGTATTTTCACATGAGGTTTAAAAGGCAATTTATTGTCAAATGTCATTCGTAAAAATGTCGTTTGTTAGACCATTTTTATGGGAGTTTTGTCTAAAACAAACTCTGGGTTGTAGTGTATTTTGCGTTGATTACAAACATTTAGACAACATGTTTGGCCAAAGATACTCTCAATAGTGTTCATCTTTGTATCAAGGCATGAAATATTAAAGTCAGCAACAGATAATGACCAGTCAATATTATCATTCAAAACTTTCACAAGGTTATTAATCTTAACAGAAATGCCGATCAAACAATTAGGTTAAATTGACAAGTAGATGGCTGGGGACTTCATTGGGCAATTATGTCCTTGTCCATCAACTGAGATTGGTCTGTTTGTATGGTACTAACTAGCTAGACATATGGTTCAAATGCAGGTTCTTAGAATAGAAAGTATACTGAGTCAAAACAAAATTCACAAAATGTTATTTGAAAAATAATGAATAATCTTTCTCTAATGATACATCTGTGTATCCGAAATGGGATCCCTATCTTTCGATTCTAGAAAAACGTTAGCAAAACCCACTCAAACCCATCCATTCGTCGTGCAAATGACGTTAGTGTCAAATCAGGTTTTGCTCGTGCAGTCGATCAGGTGATCTTCGCATCGAAGTTTTCTTCACATGCACGTGTTTGCATTGGCCTCAAGAATTGACAAAAACACTTTTAAACCACAGTTCTAACGGTACTTGAAATGCCACGATTGTCAAATGTGCAACGTGAACGTGCCGTTGGCATGTTGCAAGCGGGAAGATCAGTTATTGACGTCGCAAGAGCAATGGGATGCAGCCGTCGTACTGTGTATGACTTGCGAGGTCGTCTACAACAAACTGGCACCACTTCTGATCGCCCAAGGTCGGGTCGTCCACGTGTGACGTCACGAGCATAAGACCGTCAAATCGTCCTACGTTACCTACATGACAGATTTCTGCCGGCTACACGAACCAGGGCTGAGATGTTTAGAGATCGACTGTCCTCACAGACAATTCGAAATCGGTTGCGGGCTGCCAATCTCCATTCTCGACGTCCATATCGTGGGCCAATATTGACACCGTTTCATCAACGTCAACGTCTGCTGTGGGTCCAACGTCACCTCCGATGGACCCAGAGAAACTGGAATCGAGTCGTCTTTAGCGATGAATCCAGGTTTACCCTCAGATTCGCGGACGGCAGGCATAGAGTCTGGAGACGACGTCGTGAACGGTATGCCGAATGTTGTGTACAGGAAGTCGACAGATTCGGGGGCGGAAGTTACATGGTGTGGGATGCTTTCTCGACTTCTGGTCATCCGTGGAAACCTCACAGCTGCTGCTTATCGCTACCAGGTGCTCACCCCTGAACTAGTTCCTTTCATGGCGGCTCATGACCCAGGTCTACAGTTCCAGCATGATAATACTCGGCCGCATACCGCGATGTTGACACGAAATTTCCTTCAAAGGGCTGGAATCAACGTCATGGACTGGCCATCGAGGTCCCCTGACCATAATCCAATAGAGCACGTTTGGGATGCACTCGGGAGAAAGCTTCTTGGTCTTAGTCAGAATTTGCAGGAACTTGGCGCCGCCTTGCAAGAGCAATGGCGCAGAATCCCCAACCACGTGTTCACAAGCATCAGTCAGTCGATGAGGGGGACGGTGTTTGGCAGTGGTGAATGCGCGGGGCGGCCATGCACGATATTGAACTGAGAATTTTCGCATTTTTATTCTTGTGACTTGACATTCCGTATGCCCATGTTTTGGAACGGCGGTGTAGCCTAATGGAACTGATTATGGCACTGTCAGTGTATAGAGTACATCACACAGATCTCAGCATTGAAATAATAACAATTTAACCATCTTACCATCTCTTGTTCTTTTATAGTGCCCTGCAGAAAGAATGTGAAGTTTCTTCTTTGACTCAATATATTAGTCATCTTTTATGCAAATTGTATTTGTTGGAGCACAATACATTGAAGCAATATTGTGCTTCACAATCCAAGAAAACGGCGTCATTATACTTTAGTTCAACATTCAACGATTTTGTTGTCACATACATGTATATCTCAGACCTAAGTAAGGAACATGGAATAACGTCAACTTTATTTACTCTTTCTAACCCATTTAAAGTGTAATTGACTCTAAAGTAATGTTTGACCCTAATGTAGATATCCGTCAGTCACTATTGTACAGCTATCAGATCGCATGCACGTTGCTCTGATTATCACGAAGGTAAGTCACAACTGCACTAATAATATCGGCTCCCTGTTGTATTATTAGGTCATAATAAAGGTTTTTATCTTTCCAGGGAAAACCTTCTCGAAATTAGGGTTTTCTATGAAAACCTGATCGTTCAATCAACAGAACAAACCCCTCAGTATTCAACGGAGACTCTCATAGGTAAATATACAATGTCACGATTTTGATATTCCAGGATTTAAAAAACAACAACTTAGTACGGTAAATGATCTTACTTATCCATCCCAATCAAATAATGAATAGCAAGTTACACTTAGACTGCACTTTTTTTGTCAATTGACATCATTTAAACCTTCATCACGTGTTTCACAGAAATGTGTATATGTATTAAGTTTTATTTGTCCACATGTCAACAACACATATCTACATTTTGCTTTCATAACAATTTGGCAGTATTTTGCGTATGTAATATTTATCTACATTGTCTAATGTAAGATCCAACTCTGTACTGTAATAAAGGATGTGGCTGTAAAACATAAAACAGTGATGGTTCCAGGGCTTTGCGAAAAAGTAATCCTATCCTTCCTTGGGTGGCACCCGGAAAGTGATCAATCGGTCACCTGAACATGTAAAACAGACTTCAATCGGACGTCATTTCAGGGAGATAGAATTAGAAGGGTTCTGTTGTCAAAGCAAAATTGACACTCTTTGAACCATCAAAAATACAACAATATGTTGTAAAATATATTTAGAAACAGTTGAAACCACTTGTATAATAATCGACATAAAGGAACACCAAATGTTAGAAATTTTCAGTGATTATGTATAAAAGAAAATACAACCTGTGACGGGTAACATTTTGTGTGTTGCCAGGTAACCTGGGTGGACAGATGGGCATCTGCCTCGGAGCCAGCATTCTGACTCTAACTGAACTCGGAGAGTTCCTCCTCAAAGTTTGTTTGACAATCTTCAAGAAGAGAAGACATGGCGGCCGAATCGAACATACCAATGTCTCCCATAACTAAGTTCCAACAACGCAAAATAATGATGGACCAGTTACGATACAATGTGCAAAAGGTCTGCGAATGGATACACTTCAATAGCGATTGCAGTAATCATCTAATTGCCATCAAACACCATCCATGAGGTCTAGATCACTAAGGAAATATGAGTTCATATACAATTCTCAAGTGATATTGACCTTATGTGGTAGTAAACCGAACATCATAGTTCTGGTGGTGTCTGGAACTTCTTCACACTCAAGACTATATAATGAGAGTATTCAGATAAACAGTAATAATGCAAGGGAAAACCCGGTCAAAAATGAGATTAATCAAAACATCGCTATGGTGCTGGATCCTTCTCTGTGGCAAAGTAATATCTCACCTTGGAAACGTTTTGATACTGTATATGGAAAGGGACCATAATTGTCGTCCAATCGGCAATCATTTGGTACATGCCCGTGGTGTTATTTGCATGCCACACTCCCAGCTTCACATGTGTTTTACGTTTTGACGACAATTGATGCTGTCACCTCGGCAAGATCTCAGCCCTACAGTGACGAGTAAGGATTGAACTTTGCAAAGGGAGCATCTGAAGAAGAACGGGAAGAGGAAACTCTACTGCAATCAAGTCTTAACAATGAGACATGGCATATCTATTTTGTTTTAGGTGTTTGCACTGATCAAACTCTTAGTTAGATTCCTCTCGATCACGCAGTTCCGTCAGTGATGCTAAAGATTCCACACCTCTTGCTCCTTTTGTGCCAGTCGGATCCCATGAGGACTGCCAGACTCACTAAATCATGTAAGGATCAGTTCCCTAGTAATCGTCTCCAGATCACTTTTGTTACTATTTCCAGCATGTTGAAATTTACTCACTGTGTGCGTATACATGTATGCCATTTACAATCACTGCACAATATTTTGTTAATGTTTAGATATACATGTACTCATTATCTCAACATATATATCCAACATACTTATCCTGTTGTTGTATTCTGCACTTATCGTGAGCTAGAATATGCAGTTCATACGCTTTGTTCATGTGCTTAAAATTTAGCGTATGGTTTATATAAAGTGAGGTTTGAATTTGTTTTATCTCAAGTGCATGCACGTCGATGTCATTATTGAAATATACGGCAGGAGTCCTTGTTCTGTAGATTTGGGGTTGTTTTGTTGTATGCCAAAAGGAGTCTTTGGAATCATGCATCCTGGATGCTCCAGCATAGGTGCCAAATGATATAATTGCTCATACTCAGGGATACTTCTTTCAGCCAGCACTTTGGGCTATCTCACTTGTTTAGCGTTGCCAAGTGTCGAACTTTGGTTCCATATCCATGTTTTTTTTCTGCCTTTGACAAAGGTTTCCAGATTCGACGTCTGAAAAAGTAACTTCGAAACCTGACGCTATTACATTAAAATTATTCAACCTCTAAATTGAAAACACTCTCGGTTTGTCCTTTTCTGTGAATCACAAAAATCAAATGCACCTAGTCTCCAGATTTTTATTACTCTAAGACGACATGTTTCGGACTTTTTCTCTCGTGGTATCAAATTGAAGACACAAAACATTTCCATTTTCAACTGTGTTGTCATGATGTGAAAACAAATCACCCACGCAAAATTTTGATAATGGCCTGACGGTAACATGTTAAACGTACCTCAAAACAAAACACGTATGAAGTACTTGTAAAGAAAGAAATATAGGCTATCCGTGAACGGAGCACGCTGGGTTATGCATAGAAAGACTTAAGATCCAGCATGTAGTTTCTATCTTCAAGATTTTCAAGTTGTGGTTGTCTGTCAAACTAACGTTCCGAGATTAATCCACAATCTGTACAATGTGTGAAGCCCATTTCTGATATCCCCACTGTGATGTACGAGGAATATTCAACTGTACCCACTTACTCGGTGTGTTGATAATGAGAATTAATAGCTATTCATTCATATAATCTAATATAATTGTTCCATGATATCACTTGATAAACACGGTGGTATTCATATTACGTTCAAGACGTGGAAGCCACACATCTTCACAATACAACGTCATGAAAATTCGATGTTTTCTGTATTTGTTTATACTATATGTTTTCTGAAAATTTCGAAACATGTCATTTGTTATAATTTAAACAACTAAACTAGAATCATTTTAGAATGAACTTAATTAAGCAAGTATGTACATTCAACACTATTAGTTTGGAATGTTTAACTATCGTGACACTTAATAAGAATAGAGGATGGGGCATTCTTTATAACACAATGAGCCATTCAAGCTAACCTGCTCTGTCTTCACAAGTAGCCTGTTGTGTGAAGCACAGGCATTCATACTGCACAATGGCTATTAGTTAACAGTGTTTATGTCTGTATGTCACCAATGATTACAACACCTACCATAAATAGAAGCCAGCGCGTAAAAGTATTAAACTGGTACCTTTGCTACATGCATGGCCCACAGCTGGAGGTACACCAACCACTTGAAGGATATATCCAGTAAAAATCTTAAATCAAATAATTTATAAAGCATGAAAAAAGATTTGTTTCTTAAGTCAACGTTTGCAGCCAGAAACATTAAATAACTTCTCGTATTCCGGAAACTACCGAGACTTAAAGAATTTGCCATCGCGTAACCCTATCGTCATAGCAGGGAGTTAACTCGCTGCTTCAGTACAGTGTTTAGTTGGTAACTATCGCCATGGCATCACCGGTCCATAACACCGGTAAAAAGAAAACATTTGTACATATTGACATTATCTGTAAGTAGAACAGTAAGCCAAGTAGATCTATCAAGACTTTATCATTATTTGTCTTTGAAATCGAAGGTATCATCATGGTGTCTTCTTAGACAGTCGTGGATATTGTCAAAGCAGCAGAGTTGATCTGGCCGCAAGGAAACGTCTGAAGAATCTGGGCATGCCATATTGTTACATTTTTGTAGCATGGCATCTAAAACAGAATCAAAGGCTGCGTGGACAGATGGAAACGCATCTACTGACAAGAAAATAGGTACTTTGTGGAGTGATTTCACACAGAACACAGGATTCCATGGCATCAATAAACTTACACCTGGGCATAACTACAGTGTAAGATGGTGAGTTGAATATCGTGTAGTAGCATTGCCATATGTTATTACAATTGCCGCTTAGGCTATGACAATTGATATTTTGGCACAGAAAAAAGGAATGACACGTTTCATCTTCATGTGTTTGTGGTAACTGTTTTATTTTAGTTCAAAACTTTGTATGCATACGCTTCACCACATTTGTTTATGCGAATATTTTGAGTAGCAGGTGGTACCGGTACAGCAGGACACTGGGTGTTATGACCTGATTGTGATCTGTTTGTATAACTGTCACTTTTGCGTTTTTTGTTAGAAACTAAATATTCTCCGCCGTTGAGCTCTATTCCAGACACTGTTTATCAAACAAATAGACAAAATTGAGCAAAAACGAATCAAAACACAATTAACCGGTGCATTTGCAAGTGGTATCCATTCAAAGAAGTTATGTTTCTAAACAATGCGTATGACAGGGGAATATAATAGTCATAATACTGGAGTTCTTACTAATGCAACATGCTCGGTTTGGGAAGACTTTAGGTAGGTAGGTAGGTACGTACGTATGCACGTGCGGACGAACGTGCGGACTGGCATACGGACGTATTTGATCTAAAGCATTCATAACGCATTCATAACGCCAACGCTGTTTTCCCTTTCTGGGGTGTTAGATTCTGGATCTTCATATCTTTGAACGGTGTATGTCTGTAATATATATGCGGTATATCCCTTCTCTTTTGTATATATACACAAAGAACTAACTTAAGCACCCGTTATTGCTTTATAATCCTTTTACGCATACAAACGACAAAATGATTGGAATCCATGTTGAATTTATGATGATAATTGCCCATTTAAGAAAAACCACTGATTTTCAGATAGAACAATGTCTGAGCAAGTATGGCCATGGAATGTTTAATGTTGAATCTATTAGTGAATGTGAACATTCAAAATACCATTTTGCGTGTCTTACACGATCAAAGGTCATTACCAAGTGTATGACTGTATGACAGCCAACACTCTCCTCCTCATACACCCTGTCAGTCTCCTGACCCTCGGAGGGGGCAGTCTACGCCATTCCTCGTGTAAAGCTGCTTTCAATTGGACCAGGGTCTGTACAGGAGGATCCCTTTGTTGGACACGACGACAAATCATATACCAGACATGCTCGCGTGGGTTAAGATCGGGCTCATTCAATCAATATCTCAGGAGGTGCTTAACTAAGTTCTTTGTGTATACTTATTCTTCAGTGTTTCGTCATGGAACTTGGTTCTGCTTCATATGTAAAATTAACTCTTTATTGAGTATTTTGTTGATTGTGTTCCCGATAATGTTCCAATTTACTTTGGACTGTAATATATTGCAATATTGTCTGTTCTTATGTACATTTCTTCTAGGTGTGGTTGGGCAATGCTTGTTTGTATAGTGTTGCTATTGTTATCAAAATGCCAATTTCATCTATTTCTGGATCTAACACTTCAATACTGTGATAGGCTCATTTACATCTTTGACAATTACCCTTTTCTGTTTTCGATGAATATGTTATGGGATGGCCTCTAAACATCGTTAAAAATGTCCTTACACAGTTGGTCATCAATGATACATGTTTGTCAAGTACATCTTTTGCATCTTTATATAAGTTACTGAATCGTTTACACGTACCTCTGATCAATTCCTGTTAGCCAAAGGATGCGATTGTATTTCCAGTTACATCTACGTTATCTATTTCACTTATTTTCAAAGAGAACAAAGCTATTGAGTGATAGGACCAATATCATGGGTCGATTCAGTCTGGATCAATACAATTCTCGATGTTAGATACACAATGAATTTGTTATGTAGTTTTTGTATTATTTACACTTCGTACAGTCCCATTTGTTCAGATCAATGTAGTCCATTATCAATAATACGGTAATCGACAGCAGTTTTTTCTTCTTCTAAGTGTTTGTGTTGTACAGTAGAATACATCTCT